CCAGCTAGATTTCCTTTTATTGGATAGCCATTTTCAAATTGGCTTTAAAACATAAAGCATACTGATACACTTAGGTTTCTATTCCTGGGGTTTATTTCAATATATAAGCTTTTGAAGTTAGCATAAGCAAGTTAATTTGATTTAAAAAAAATTTCATATAGCATACTTTGTAAAGCATATTTGGCAAAAAAAAATAATTCACATATTAATACTTTTCCTCTAATGGCATTGTCATAACCTTTTTTTTTTTAATAAAGATAGCCTTAATCCTTAGATTCGGTTCCGCTATAAGTATAAATGGACATTTAGGGAGAGTATTTTAGCAGAGCATTACAAAGCAGAGCTGGAGTCTAACTCTTGTTCTTAACAAGCACTGTCCATCAAAATGTTTATTTCCATTGCAGAAGCGAATCTGTTCTTGCTCTCACGGAACAAAAATATTTTCAGCCAAAAATATGATTATAGAGACTTCTTCTTGGGAGAACATTAAATATCACCTCTCTGGTTAAAAAAACAAAAATTCCGTGGATGTAGCTAGTAGAGAGAATAATGCCGTGTTCTACTTGGACGTTCTAGGGAACTGTGGAGCGCCACTTAATCTGTGAATTTGTCTTTGACTCTTGATTTCAGCAGCACCTGCTGCTAGTGCTAATTCACCAGCCTAAGCTACTTAAAGAAGCCTGGTGCACGGACAGGCAGCCTCACCCAGTCTGCCCCCCGGTGGCTTTGGAAGGTAGTGCAAGCAACAAGCCGCGGCCTTGGGATTTCCACCCCGCCACCTCCCACCCCATTCTGGACCGAGTCCAAATTCAGGCCCATTCTGGATGGAATAGAGCAAAATCGATTTTGAGAATTAGATCCTTTAATGAGATCTATGTGGTGTTCCTTAATTAAGTGAGCTTTTGTCAAGAAAAAAGCTAATAGTCCTTGAGAAAATCAATACCCTAAAGCATATCTCGCCAGCCTTTGGAAGCTGAAGCTGCATGGCAGGATACTCAGAAAAGGTCTCCAGTCACACGGAAGGAGAGCTCGAGGAGAAAGAAGCCAGGGAAATGGTGGAGAGCAGCCCGAGCCTGAAGAGTGGTGCTGTGGCCAGGCAGGAGTCAAAGCATGCTGATGGAGGAGGTACTTCCGTTGGGACTGGCAGCCGGTGAAGAGGGTGAGGGCCAGGGAGGCAGGCGGAGAGAGGATCCAGAGGAAGGAGAGGATGAGAGGAGAAAGGACGAGCTTTGACACAGGAGGCCTGCTGGGGCGGTAGGCACCAGGGCGGCTGTGTCGCAGAGAAGAGGGCTGATAAACTCAAAATCAGGCTGATTCAATGCTATACATTACCATATTTAAAACAGACAGCTAGTGGGAAGTTGCTATATGACAGGGAGCTCAGCCCAGTGCTCTGTGACAACGTAGAAGGGTAGGACAGGAGTGGGGTGGGAAGGAGGTTCGAGAGGCAGGGGACACGTGTGTACTTATGACCGATTCACGTTGTCATACGGCAGAAACCAGCATAACACTGTAAAGCAGTTATCCTCCAATTAAAACTAAATTTTAAAAAATCAGAATGAAATGGCCTTGAGAATCCCCAGTGGACCCCACGGTCTCCCATGACTCCAAGAGCCCAACAGCCAAGAAGGGAAGGGGAAGGGGGCGACAATGATGAGGCACCCACAGTCACGGTACAAGCTGGAATCTGTGAACACGGCTGCTTCTTGTGTAGAATCGTGGTGTGATGTGCATTTCTAAAATGCTTTCTGAAAGCTTCCCACAAATCCCTCAGACCGAAAAAATGTTAACCTTGGCATTTAAGCCTTGATCAACTTGGGGAAGTTCTTCAGGATGACGGCTCGTTCTGTGATGTTGCCAGATAACTTTTGTTAGGAAGCAGTGGGCAAAACCAGCTAGAGTTCAGTGTTTTTGCAGGTGTTTTACTGATTTCAGTATTGATTTAAAGTTGACTGGAAAATACAGAGATAGGATGTATTTTGCTAATAAGACTAGTTGACTGTAAGGAGTGTGGAGTTAGCCTTGGAGGTGATAGAGATCATAATTAACCTGGGTAGTGACCACAGTCAGTGAAGTTGTCCATAAACTGTATTCTGTGGAGCATAACTGTGCTTGCTTAAAAATCAGGGCATCCATCAAAGTAAGTGTTCAAAATGTGAAAACCCAGGAATGGCAGGTGAAAGAAGACAGCCCATGGCTTAAAGGGAAGCTATAGGTTAGAGACCATTACGTAAGAGAGGAGACCCAGAGAAAGAGATCTGGAAGTCCGGTCCAAACCTTCAAGAGGCCATGGATGCTGCACACCCTGGGCCCTACAGGCCCTGAATTTTGACCACCTGTGGGTTTACCACCTGCAGAAAGGCCGAGACTGAACTCTGTAACTCTGTGCTTGAGATGGATCACGGTCCTGAGAAGGAACCAGACTGAGTGCTTACAAGAATGCATCTTTTTTATATTATTATTATTATTTGGCTGCAGCAGATCTTAATTGAGGTATGTGGGATCTAGTTTCCTGACCAGAGACTGAACCCAGGCCCCCGCTGCACTGGGAGCACAGACTCTTAGCCACTGGACCACCAGGGATGTCCCTTTGATTTGAATGCATCTTTGATTGGAAACTTTATTTCCTTTTGTATTTTTCCTCTCTCCCATCAAGACTTTCACTGGGGAAAAATTGCTTTTGTGTTTTGCTTCTATTTGTCTTTCATTTGACAGCAGGGTTTTGTTATAACCATGTAAACCTCTTAGGAACACACCTCCCTCATTGCATTTTGTAACTTGGAGTCTGAGAGCTGCCAGGCTGTGTGGGAAATGTCGATGAGAAAATCAAGTCCTGTCCTGTTTTGCAATCCGCAGGGTTGAGTGTTTGCTTCTTCATGTCACCTGAGGTGTGCAGTGGGGACTGGAGGCAGAGGTGAAGGCATATAGGGCTTTTGTTCTCCCTTTCATATTTTGTAGTGTTTCCCTTGTGCATTAGTTTTGGGTTTGGAGGGGCAGGGGGCTCTTGAAGGAGCTGTCCTTGTTACTGAACAGTACTTGGCCCTCTCTTTATATCTTTTAAGTGGTATCCTTCCCCTCACCCCTAATACGGGAAAGGATAATAGATAAGTAAGCCACCCTTGGCTTATTCACCTCAAGTTTTTAGGTCTGCAGTCATTTGTCCTGTATTTTATCTCTCTCTTTCTATGCATTCAAGGATTTGGGGGACTGTAGAAAGGGGGAGAAAAATCACTCTGTGCATGTCTTTTCCACTCCTACTCTATGCTTTACAGGTTTAAAATTTTCAGTGGGTATATTACTTTTTAGTTGTAAAATCACAACCCATAGAAGTTAGCCTCTCGTCCATTCCTCCTTCTTCTGTAATTTTTAGATAAGTCTTTGGATCAGTCAGGGTTCCAGCAGAAGAAAAGAGGGCCTCCCTGACAGCAGTCACTGAAGAAAATGGAATGAAAAGACGGATTCTGTGCAGAGTTCGGGGAAGCCCACCACGGGTGGGTCAGCACCTGGCACTAGGAACAGAAGGAATCCTTTGCCCACCTTGGGGGCAGAGGTGACATAGGGGAGCCATTCCTGGAACTGGGAGAGCGGTAGCTGGAGCAGTAGGAGAGGCCAGTCCATGACCCACGGGAGAAGGAGCTGGGGGCCTCTCACTGGTGGAACCCAGTCACAGGGCAAGGGTCCAGGTTAATGTGGGCACAGGGGACAACTTCCACCACAGAACTTGGTGGAAAGAGGATTAGAGGGGCAAATGAGCAATATTCAGCACAATGTCTTATTAGAATCGTTTATTAAAATTTTAAAACACAATATATATGTTGTTCTGCCCAAACACGTCTCTGTATTCATTGCCCTGTTTGTACTAAGTATACCTAAATGTCACAAAGGAGCGAATGCCCAGGATTCCCTGGTGGTCCCAATGCTGGGGGCCTGGGTTGTATCCCTGGTCAGGGGCCTAGATCCTGCATGCCACAACTAAAGATCCTGCATGCCTCAACGATCCCACATGTGGCAACTAAAAGCTGGCACAGCCAAATAAAGAAATAAATAAAAACAAATGCTGTTTTAAAAGGAGTGAATATAAATGGCAGGGGTATTTTAAATGAAACTAAAAATGAATTAGAATTCTATAGAGAGAAACTTCATCGTGGTTAAGACTATAGGTTCTATCAGACAAAGAAATCTATGGAGAAAGATCTCAGAATATTGTTACCTTTTGGGGGGCAGATGTTGATTGGGAGAAGGCAGAACAGAATTTTCTCGGGTGCTGGGAATGCTCTGTGTCTTGGTGAGTAGTGGTGGAAATAGATCGAGCTGTACACTTAAGATTTATTCACAGTACTCTGTGTGTTTTACCTTAATTTAAACAGAAATTTTTTTAAAAAATCACAAAAATGTTTACAGTTCCTAGAGACCTGAGTTCCTACCCTGCTGTCTCTGTTACTTACTGACTGTGTGACCTCAGGCAAGTTATTTAATCTCTCTGTTCCTTGACTTCCTCCATGCAACATGAGGATAGTAATGTTCTTACCTCAGAAGGTTGCCCCAAGGATTAGAGCCGACCTTCAGGAAGCATCTGGCCCACGGTGATCACTCAGCAGGTGTTGGCTGCTTCTATTAAGACAGACCTGTTTTTTCCCTAAAATAACCCGAGTCTGCTAAGTTCCGGGCATCATTGTTTTCTCCTTTCTTTCTATTTACTAAAATTTCCAATCTGCAAGTTCATCCTTTTATACAAGCACATTCTGAACTTGAGTTAGTCACATGCATACAGCCTCCCTTCCCAGGCCTGTCCTGACGAGGTGAAAGCACTGAGGCGGTTCACATTCTCTCTTTTCAGCTTGCTGGTGGCTTCCTTGCCAAACGATGATCCAAGGAGATGCCTGTAAGTCTCAGAGCAGAGATACTGCCTTTGTAGACCCTCTCACTTGTGAGGGACCTCCATATGATCCTATTCAGTATACTCACCAGATTGCATCATTTTGTTTCATGAATTATAACAGGCCTTGGTTAACTGGGACCCGGTGGACCAAACAGTGCTTGCCAATGAGCAGGTGGATGAACATGGCTGTTCATGGCGTTCTGGAGCAAAGGTGGAGCAGAAGTACCTCAGACAGTGGTTTATTAAGACAACTGCTTATGCAAAGGTGAGTGTCACCCTGGAGGCACCCCAGTAAGGCTATGTTTGAGCAGGTCTTCTGAATATCAGCCTCACTGTTGGAGGTGAACTCTAGTTAGGGCTGTTAGAGCCATGGGTGTGCAGACAGGAAGCACATGGACCTCAGGGTCACTCACATAGAGCTTGATGGATTTGGGTCCTTCAGTTGGAAATCAAGAATAGCACCTGGAGGTCGCTGTAGGCCACTGTTTGCTGACCTTTCAACAAATCACTGTATTGCTCTAAAGGCCAAAAAATATTCCTCTTTATCTGTGACTGTATCATCAATAAAACTAGAAAGGAAAAAAGTATTTTCATCTCTGTAGTTCTAGTAAGACCTCCAGAAAGATAGAATGACATTTCTGAGGGTCCAGAGGAGACCATCTAAAGGAGTGAGGAGATGGCCGTCTTCATGCAGGAAGGCCAGGGTGAAAGTGAACCAAGGCAGGAAGCAAAGCTTTGGACTCTAACTCTTGTTGTGTCTCTGATTAATAGTGTAAATCAATGTGAGCCCCTGAAGTTCAGTTTCCTCATCAGTAGAAGGAGAGGGTGCGACCAAGTGATCTTTAAGTTGCCTCTGGCTCTTTATGTTTTCAGAAATTCAAGGCAAAACCAACCATTGAAAGGTGGGGCTTGCTTACTAAATCACCAGTAGCCTGGGTGAAATAGCTTATTCTGGGTATGCCAGAACCACTCTGTGCAAGATATTCTTTGAGCCTACCACATTTCAGGATATGGAATTGAGAATCACTTCCTGAAATTCCAGAGAAAAGTGATTAGAACAAATCAAGGGGGGCATTTCCTGTGGCAATTTGATAATCTCTATATTAGCATAAGACTGGAAGTCAGCAGGATCTGAAAAGGTAAAGACATCATGCAGAGTTATTGATGGTATGTCATGGTAGTTCTTACTTTGTGGTAGCCACCATACGTAGGACGGTTATACCTTTCCATTGTAGCCCATGGGTTGCTACATCACAGATAGGGTACTGGACTAAGTGGACTTTGGGTCAGATCTAATTCTGTATTTTTTATATTGCAAAATAAGCACAAATTATAAATAACCTCTGATCACTACAAAACTTTACTGAATTAGAACTATAGTACTCCAATTCACCAGACCAGTGCCATATGGTTATATGACCTCTAGTTCTCTCACAAAAGACATGTCTTAAATGAAAATGTTCCCATTTTAATTTATCCAGAATGTAGCATATGGTTTTGGAGAACTACTCATTAGAACTTGCTAACATAATGCCTTGCTCCTTTCAAGCACGCTAGTAGTATTGAGAGGCTGAATAGAAGCAAGCTGGGGACATAGCTTTCTATAACAGCCCAGGCAGTGGAGCCCCCACCTGCTGCAGCTGGGGAGCCAGGAGGCAGGCCAGGTCAGCTCAGGGACCTGTCAGATGACTCTAATAGGCGTTGGTGGGAAGGCCACCTCATTAGCGCTTTTGTTTGACCTCTGCCTCTAATTGGAGATGTAATAACCTGAGTGGCATTGTTCTTTAAATTGTCAGCTGTGAATTTTCAACTGTTCAGCAGAAGTGGTTAGTTACCATGGTGACTTGCCTGCTTCTTGATGAACTCCAGGGAAGAATTAACTGCAAAAGCTGACATTAGAAGTCAACATTTGGTTTGCCCTGAAAATCAGAAGAGGGGGTGGCGTGGGAGTGGTTAAGGGTGAGCAGATATCTGTGTTCACTGCACATCCTTGACTGAGGGCTACGAGTGCACAAAGACTTCATAAGGCCTAACAGAAAATGATTGCTCTGGGATCGAGAGGGGAACAGAGCTATCAGGGGGCTACACAGTGCTCTGAGACTTGGAGTTACAGTTCAGCTGAAAGTATGCAGTTGAGACCCCAGGAAGGCTATATATTACAAATGTGCATGACTCTTTCGGACCAAGGACAAAATCAAAATAGACTCACCTTAATTAAAAATAAGCCTGACAGTTTCAAAAGTAACTTTCAGAACAAAACTCAACACCTTAAAAGGGAAACAGCGTAGTTCAGACTCTCTGAAAGGTTGGTTTTATCTGAAGTGTCCAACATGTAGTAAAAAATTACTAGATTTGCAAAGAACCAGGAAATTGTGATCTATGATAAAGGGGGGGAAAGGGAGTCAGCACAAGAGAGATAGATCCTGAGATAAAGGAAAAGATGGTAATAAGGAGTGAGCAGATGAGTGGACAGGGGAATCTCTGGACAGAAATGGAAACATTTTAAAAAAAATGGAAATCTAGAACATAAAAGTATAACATCTGAAATAGAAAATTGTTTGAGCTGTAGAGGGATGCGTAAGGGTTAAATAGGCCATAAACCTGTAAGGGAACCCCTGTCACTCCATATAGGGAACAAAACAAATGGTAATTCTAAAACAGAAATGTGTATGACACATTTAAGAAACTGAAATAATGATGGTATAGCTGAAACTAAGAGAGCCAAGAGGAGAAACTCAAGATAGGACTGGAAAACCTGAAGAAATGGTTAGGGGCCAGATCAGGCAGTGCCTTAAGAAATCCGTACTTTATCATGGGAGTCCTGAGAAACCATTAAAGGATTCTAAGGAAAGGAGTAACATGATCAGATTTGTGTTTTTATAAATTCACCGTGGAAAGAGCAAGTGAGGATGCAGATAGACCAGCTAGGAGGTTATTGCAGTGTTCCAGGCACGCATAACTTAGATGGTAGTGGGAATAAATGGGTAGGTTAGAAAAATATTCATATGGCAAAGCCTAAGAACTTGGTGATATTGAATGATATTGAAATTGCATGTAGGAGATGATGTCAAAAGCCCCTGACCTGGACACAAAGTGAATGATAAAGTTACTCACTGGGATAGGGAGTCCTGGAAGAGACACAGTCCTGACCCTTTTGAGTTTGCAGTGACAATGAATCATTTTAGTAGAGATGTAGAAATAAATGATTCTTGGATAAATGGGTCTAAAACTTCAAAGAAGATCAAGTGAGACAGGACATCTACTTTAAAACCTGGTATGACAGCAATAGTGTTGAATTAGTGATGAGGTCTTGCTATATAGACAAGGATGAGATATTGAGTCAGTAATGCTTTTAGCTGCAAGTAACTGAAAATCCAAGTTATGGCGACTTAATAAATGGGAGAGTCCTTCCCAAAGAAGAAGTCCCAGTTGCTGGGACCAAACTAGGATAGGCCTCTGAGTTGGCATTTCCATGGTTCTCATCAGCCATTCCTTCCTGCCTGTCACCTCATGGTTGCAAGATAGCTGCTGCAGATCAGACATCATGTTTCCATTCAAGACAGAAAGAAGCAAAAGAGGTACTGTGAGTAACAAGAAAGCAAGCACTTTCCCACAAACGCACAGCCAAATTCCACTGATGTTCTGCTACCCCTGATGTATCATGTGGCTACACCCAGGTTCAAGGAAGGCTAGGAAAGCAGACTTGAGCTTTTTAGCTTCTGTAGTCAAGATGGTTGGGGGAAGGGATTGGGGAATAGGTGTGTGTCCGGCAGTCATCTTTAGAGCTCCATGTGTACATCTGATTGTGCAGCCTCTGTGATGTACAGCTGGTGGCCTGCTTGGGAACACGGCTGGAGGAACCCTCTTTTCATTCTCTTAACTTGCAAATTAGAAAGATGATGCCTGATGTGAAAATTAAGGGCACCCTGAAATATAAAAAAATCTTTTATCGAGGCTGTTCTGGCATGTATTTGATGTTTCTCCATATATCTCCCATCCAGTCCTCCCCAGGATTGTTTGCTTTATGGAACATTAAAAGTGGTTTCAGCCACTTGTTCTGTGAAAAAAGAAAACTGGCAGTAGGAGTATCTGAGGAGCATGAATTAGTCCTGGCAGAAACGTGTGGGGGGATTGACGTGGGCAGCACCGTGAGGTGGGAGCAAGGGGAGGAGGGCAGACTGGAGACGTGCATACAGGAAGCAGAGGGGGTTCAGAGCCTGGTGGAACGAGCGCTTCGGTTCCTGACAGCAGGGTGACAATTGGAAGGCGAGACAAATGGAGAGACGGCTTTCCATTTGACCTTTCCTGATGGATTTGTGGTTTTGACTTCTCCGCTGCCTCCTGTAGCCCCCAGAAGCTGCCTCCCTGCAGGTCCTCAGACAAGACGCTGGGACACTGTACATGGCTCCTCTTCGGCATTAAAATGGACATAATCATGCCCTGAAGGTGCTCAGTCAACACCCACACCTAATTGGTGCTAATGTTCTCCTAGGTTTCCAGAAGTTACCTGGCAGCTGCTTAAATACAAACCAAGTCTGTGATCACCTCCCACTTCCTGCCTGCTTGCCCCCGATCTGATCAGCTCCCAGTCTTTTCCTCTCACCATCTTACTGAACGTTCACATTATTCTTTGGAGGGTGGGTACCACCTATTACCCCATTTTACTGATGGGGAAACTGAAGCTCACGCTGGTCGTAAAGTAACAGCACTGGGATTCCAGTCCAGGTGCTTACGTTCTTTACCAGCAGTCTGTACCACTTCTCAGGTAATCTGAATTCATTCTTTCTCTCCCAGATGTTATTGAGTGCCTTGCCTAGGTGCTAAGAATACAGGTGAGAAAAGCTGAGGTCCCTGCTCCTTGGGCTCCGCAGGTGGCTCTGTGGTAAAGAATCTGCCTGCCAGTGCCGGAGACGTGGGTTCAATCCTAGGCTCAGGGAGATGCCCCGGAGAAGGCAAGACAACCCACTCCAGTATTCTTGCCTGAAAAATCCCATTGTCAGAGCAGCCTGGCAGGCTGCAGTCCATGGGGTCACAAAGCATCGGGGACGACTGAGCGACTTAGCATGCACCGCTCTTTGGGAAGTCAGGGACTAGCATAGGGGACCTTCGCAGACATGAGAGGTCACAGCCCTTGGGATCACCGTCGCACTGCAGGAGAGCACAGGGGCGCCGAGGAGCCCCCCTGTGCCCAGTGGTCGGAGGAGGTACCGCCAGGTGGTGATGAAAGCTGGGACGTGCAGGATGTCTGTACGGGGAGTGTTTTGT